ATTCATCCTGCCACCCTACTTACCAGACCTATGTGACCCCAAAACCAGTTTCGTTTGGGGGGTTGCGGGAAACATCGGAGGCGGCAGCAGTTGTCATAGAAGGAGTAGGTCCAGGCCAGGACACGGGCCAGGAGCCAGGAGGCCCCAATCAGCAGCAGGAGCAACCATGGGGAGGGTGCCCCAGGCCAGAGTTCCAGCCACGACATGCTCAGCAGCGACATCCTGCAGGCTGAGGAGAAAGAATGCTAATGGGGAACATGGAGGCAGAGGTGGGACAGCCACAAAGTAGAGGGAGGGGCCAAGGATATGGGCTCTAGGGATGAGGTAGAGGGCGGAAATGGGTAAACATGGGTCAGAGAAGGGAGCAAGGACTGGGAAAGGTAAGGGGGAGAGATGGGGGGGACAGAGAGAGAGACAAAGAGTGAGAGATGCAGAGAGAGAGAGAGGTGGCTGGAGTCCCAGAAGTCTCAGCACCAGTCAGTAGCCAGTGGCCTGTTGCCAGGACCTCCAGTTACCCAGTAACCACCCATCCCCCAGGGCCAGCTCACTCCCTGGAGATTCCCCAGCTGGGAGTAGTGTCCCCCTCCTAGCCCTGCCACCCCCAGCCAGACACCTTCTCTCCAAAGTGGCTAGTCTCCTTACAAACTCCTCCCTACTCTCTTCTGGGACTTCTTTGTCCCTGGCCCAACCCTGACCTGGAGGAGGTTAGGGAGGACTGGGGTCTGGCCAATCCCTGAAAGCTTGGGTGCCTCCTCCCTGCAGGCAGCTGGCCCAAGACCTGAGGGCGGGCAGGGCACAGGAAAAGCAACCAGCTCAGGGCTACAAGCTTGGGAACTGGAGCCTGGAGATCCAGAACCTTCTGCTCAAACAGGGGCAAAGGTTATCCTGGGTTCCAGGTTTACAGCCACCCCAGCCCTTTGAAGCCCAGGGAGCAGGAGGTAAACTTGAACTTGAAGGGTCAGGGTCCATTGAGCAAGGCCAAGCCAAGTACTGCCAAAAAAAAAAAAAAGACGACGACGAAATCTGGTGGGTTTCTCTCCAGTGTGGGCCATGGGGGATCAATCAGGCACCTACTTCTTAAAGCAGGAATCAGAGCTTGAGGATAGGAAGATACTGGCCCAGCCACCCAGCCTGGCAGGAATCCAATCCTGGCTCCTGTCAGCCCAGGAGACAGCAGAAACACTCACTCAAGTCTCACCTCGCCAGGGATTACCGGATCAGATTCTGAGAGAAAGTTTCAAGTGGAATAGGATACCCGGAGGCAGTGTGGGGGAGGACGCAGTAGGATGAGCCCAAGAGAGGGGCCATGTATGGATGAGGTACAGGGGGGAGGACAGAGCACAGGTACTGGGTGGAGTCCCCACTCTGCCCATCCTTGATCTGACCGTGCTGCGCCTTCTCTGGGCCTCAGTCTTCCCATATGGGAAATGGGACATTAGCTGACAGATCTTATCCTGGTCCAGAAATGCCCTGTGGGTGGGCTCAGCCCCCTGAAGTCTCCCCATGGTCAAACTCTAGAATGAGGGTGAGTTTGAAAATAAGGTAGCTATGTGAGAGAATTGCAGCCAACATTCCTCCTGTAACAGATAAAACGTCAGGCAGACCCCCAAACTTCCCCCATTCTCAGATTCTTTCCAGCCCTACCTGCTCCAGCTCCAGGTGGCTAGTCCTAGAAACCTCAGAAAGTTGGGGTACACCACCCTGGGTCACCTCCTTCTGTAATGCGGTGGATCCACCTCATGGCAGGTGTCTCTAGGAAAGAGCTGGAGGCGAGGCTAGTGTTTCTTAAACCAGGGCAGCAGGTGAGAGGTGGCAGGGATGGCCTGATTGTCTGGGGAAAGGCAGGAGAAAAGAAGAAACAGAAGTTCAGAGAGGTCCAGTAGCAATGCTCCAGGCTCACAGTTAACTAATTAAATGTAAACACACCCATAGTAGGTGTTCATTAAATAACTGAGGAAGAAGCGGACTTTTGTAGTCGTGAGTTCTCAGCACTGGATACTCAAAATGTGCTCATCAAACCAGCAGCTTCAGGATTACCAGCAGCCTCTGTCACAAATGCAGAATTCTGAGCTCAGCCTCAGACCCACAAAGCAGTATTCAAGATGACTGCAAGTTCTTTCTCACTCTTCCCATCAAGAGGTCCCTGGGTGGCAGAAATGGTTTGCACTCAACTGATAACCAAAAGGTTGGCAGTTTGAACCCACCTAGGGTGCTGAGGAAGAAAAGTCTGGCAATCTGCTTCTATGAAAGATTACGATCAAGAAAACTCTGTGGGGACACAGAATTGTATGTACAGAAATTGTTGAATTGGTGTGTTTTCTACTGTGCATAATCTTTTTTTTTTTTTT